GCAGGGAAGGCAGACAAAGTTATTTCCCCTTCCCAAGCAGAAAGGTTCCGATTGGCAAGATGGTGCCCAACTGTCCCCGCGCGCTCTTCCTTCTGCTGCTTTTCCTCGCCTGCCCCGAATCGCGGGCTTCCCAGGTCAGTGTCCCTCCCGCCTCTCCCCTGTCCCGCTTGCAGGGGAGGCCACGCCAAGGCCGGAGGACCTGGGCTTGCCACATTCCACTGGAATGCCCGGGCTGGGGGCTTGGAGCGATGCTTGGGCCGGGATTCGGTTTTCAGAGAGAGGCGTGAGATTCCCCCATCTGTCATCTGATGCATCGCGGGCCGGGCGCCTGGGAGGACCCGGGCTGATCTCGCCGAGTAGTTTGTGCGGAAGCCTCGCTCCGCCGGGAAAGAGGGCTCCGCGTGAGAACCGTGGGTGGCAGAAAGATCGTCCCTGGGATTTAGGAGACGTCGGTCTTCCCTGAGTCTCCAGGAGAGCTCCCTGCTCACCCATTCAGGGTAGAGAACGTCCCCTCCCTCCAACTTCCAACACTGACATTTCGAACTGAAATATACTTCTTATCACTACCAACTTTGAGACGCGCAGGACTTTTCTTAGCAGCGCTTCCCATGCAGAGGGGGGCCGGGAGGTTTCCGAAGCAGCCTTACCCAGAGCCTGTGGGGCCTTAGATCTGGGACTGCGTTTCTTTCCCACCTTTACAGGCAGCTTGCTGTTTAGTTTTTCTCTCCCTGCCGTTTGGGTTTCTTGGAGTCCCCCTGGATTTATTTACTTGACCAGATTCACTTTTACATCAACCAGTTGAGAAGTGATGATTAAAATTAAGATGAGAATGCAGATAAACATGCTTCTCTTCCGAAGGTGAAACAGGAATTGCCGAATTCAGAGCCGGCTGTCACCAGACTGGCCCTGGAAACTGGAGAGCCTTCCCTCTGTGACGGGCGCGTCCTGGGGGCTGCGAGGCAGGCAGCCAGGCCAACAATACCGCCCACAGCAGTAGCAGTAACGGCAGGCGGAGGGAGAGCCCCGCCGAGCGCCTGCGGAGGGCGCCTTCTTTGCTAATCATCTTCCAGGCTCTTAATCCTCAGAGCAGCCCTGTGAGTTGGGAATGGTTGTCACCCCCATTTTGCAGATGAGGGAGCTGAGGCCCAGGGAGACTGTGACTTACTCAAGGTCACAAAGACAGGAAGGAGGGAGTAAATTTAGTTTCTCTCCAAGGGAAAGGCTCCAAGCCTTTTCCCCCTTCCCCACAGACTCTCACCCATGGACTCAATACCTGAACCTAACAGCACATCCGTGGCCACCCAGAAGCCCCTGGGGTGCAGGAGGGGGTTCCAGGCAGGGAGAACTCAGCTCAGACCAGACATGGACCACGTTAGTGCATTAGGTGGTCAGTTGCCACTGCAGGAAGTCACTCAGCCACCAGGCCACAGAGGCCTAGTCTGGGGCCACAGTGAACCCAGCCAGCTGAGCAGTGGGGTCTCCCACCCACTTTGCAGATTACAAAGCAAAACCTCAGACCGGGAGCCCAAAGCCAGAAGCACAGGTGGGAGCATCCCTAAGCCCCTACTCCCCACCGGGGCCAGCAGAGGGGACGGGGTGGATAGGACGTTCCAGAAGGGGGCCTCTATCTTGCCATTCCTTGCTCTTGGCAGGTGGAGGCTATCGCTGTCTCTCAGGGTTACCTGGTGAGACCTTGGCAGTTCTCAGATGTATGCGGCGGCTGCAGAGGCCGGGCAGTGTGCTCTCCCAGGCTCTGTTCCCCAGAGAGACCTGGGTCCAGTCCCTGCCCTGCCCTTCCAGGCCATCTCACAATATGTATCCTTGAAACCATGGTTTCTTTACCTGCAGGAGCACCTGCCTCACTGGGCTCTGTGAGGGGGAAAGGGAGCAGAAGGGATTCTCCAGAGAAGTTGGTTTAAGAATTCTAGTGAAACTGTTCTGCACCCAAAGTCCTCCGTGGTTGGGGGACTCTTACCCCCAGTCCCTGCCTGGCTTTTCATTTGTGTCCCTCTTGTCAGCACATCTGTCCTGACTCATTTCACAAGTTTGCGATGACCTGCTGTTGGAAAGCAAGTACTCGTGGGGAAGGAGGGGAGGTGGAGCAGTGTGAGGATCCTGCAAGCAGGGGCCCTTCCTTAGCACTACTGCCCACTATGTGGCCTTCCCCCAGGGGGAGAAATAGCCTTGTTGGGGAGGCAAGAAAGAGGACATTTAACAAAACCCCATGCCTCACCCTCTTCCCCCAACAATGGCTCTTGGCCTCCTCCTCGCCTGTGGGGTGGGGGTGCTGTGGTGTTTCAGAAGGTCTTTCTCTCCCCAAAACCTTTCCTTGTGATCAGATGTCAGTGGGTTCCAAATTCCACCATTAGAGATTCATTCTTTTGGCTGTCTACTCCCATTCGATACACGGCTTTTCACAGTTTAATGGAAAAAAAAGATTTTTGGTGTACATTTCCGTGATTTTAACCATAGAACTATGTTCTAGATGTGGGCAACATCACTGTCAGGAGACAGAGCTGTGCCACCACCCCAAACCAACATCGTGATGCACTTTGTAGTCAAACCCTCTGCCCACTCCAGCCCCTGGCAACACCCATCTGTTCTTCATCATTATAGGTTTTTCTTCTCCACAATGTCATATAAATGGAAGCCAAAAGCTCACGGACTTTTGACTCTGGCTTCTTTAACTTAGCGGAATGCGTTTAAGAATCTCCCGTGTTGTTCTGGGGAGGCACAGTTCCTTCTTATTGCTCGGTAGTATTCCACTGTGTGGACATATCACAGTTTGCTTATCCATTCAGCCACGGAACTGAACGACACCCATGGTGTCAGTTCCAGTTTTTGGCGATTATGGCCAGAGCTGCTATAAACATTCCCCTACAGCTTTTTGTGTGAATGTAAATACTCACTACTCTTGGGTAAATATCCAGGAGTGGGATTGCTGGATCATATGGTAAATGTGTCTTTAACTTTGTAAGAAACAGCCAAACTGTATCCTGTTATATCATTTTACATTCCCACTAGTAACATATGAAAGATCTGGTTTCTCTGTGTCCTCACTAGCTCTTAATGCTATCAGGTGTGTTTGGTTTTTTCTAAGCCACTCTAATAATATGTAATGGTATCTCATTGTGGTTTTAATTTCCATTTCTCTAATGACTAATTACATTGGCATCTTTTCATGTGCTTATTTGTCATATGAATAGTTTGTTGGGTGAAGTGTGTGTTCGGGCCTGCCCATTTTCGAAATGGGTGGTTTGCATTCTTATGATTAAGTTTTGAGTATTCTTTATATATTCTAAATACAAATCCTTTTCTGGATGTGTGAGTTGCAAATATTTTCTCCCTGTCTGCAGCTTGTCTTAATGGTGTCTTTCCCAGAGCAAGGTTTTAAATTTTGATGAAGTCCAATTGATCAATGTTTTTGGTGTCAAGTCTAAGAATTCTTTGTCTGACACCAGGTCATAAAAATGTTTTTGTATGTTTTCTTCTGAAAGTTTTGTAGTTTTGCATTTTTACACTTTGATCTGTAATCCATTTTGAGTTAATTTTTGTACAAAGTGTGAAGTTTATATTACGGATCACTTTTTGCATGTAGATATCCAAATGTTCCAACACCATTTGTTGAAAAGACTGTGGACTTGCCTTTGAATTGTCTTAGCAACTTTGTCAATAATCAATGCGTCATATCGGTTTGTTTCTGCCAGTAACACACAATCTTGTTTACTATAATTTTATAGTAAGAGTTAAAATCAGGTCGATTTTAAGATTTTATTATCCTTTTTCAAAATTGTTTTGGCTGTTATAGCTTGTCTTTCCATTAAAATTATAGAATCATCTTGTCTACGTTCACAAAAAATCCTACTGGAATTTTGATTGGCATCTCATTAAATCTGTTGACCAATTGGGGCAAATTGGCATCATAACAATATCAAGTCTTCCAATCTGTGAAAACAGATGTCTTTCCATTTATTAGGTCTTCCTTAATTTCTTTCATCAGCATTTTTAAGTTTCGAACTTAAACGTGCTTTGTTAGATTTATGTCTAAGTATTTCATTTTAAATGGAGCTATTTTAAATGGTGCTGGTGTTTTCAAATTTTCATGTTCAATGCTATCTTCCTAGTATATGGAAATTCAATGGACTTGTCTATCTATGTTGACGTAGCATCCTGTGACCTGGTGGAACTCACTTATTAGTTACAGGGAATTTTTTTTGTAGATTCCCTCAGATTTTTTACATAAACAATCATGTCATCTGTGAATGGGGGCGATTTTATTTCTCCCTTTCTAGTCTATGTGCCATTTATATACTTATTTAGCCTTGTTATGCTTATTAAATCTTCCAGTACTATGTTGAGTAAGAGAGAGGACATCCTTGCCTTGTTCTAGAACTTAGGAAGAAGGCATTCCGTTTTTTAACGTTAAGGGGGATGCGAGGCTGTAGGTTTTTGTAGATGCCATTTTTCAGATTAATGTTTTCTCCTAGTCATAAATTTGATAGTGTGTTTATTATGAATGGATGCTGACTTTCATCACATGCTGTTTTTTGCCTCAGTTGATATGATCCTGTGGTTTTTCTGCCACCTGTCATTAAAGTGGATGACTTTGATTGATTTTCTAATTTGGAAACCAGCCTTGTATTCCCAGATAAACCCTAATTGACTGTGGTGTCTTATCCATCGTCTGTATTTCTGAGTTCCACTTGCTAATATTTTGTGAGAGTTCTTACATCTGTGTTCATGAGAGGTACTGATAACTCACAGGGGTCAGCCAAACGATGGCCCGTGAGCCCACTGCGGGTCAAACCTGGCCACACTGACTCACTCACAGGTCATCTATAGCTGCTTTTTGGACCACAATCTAGAGTTGAATAGTTTTAGCACAGATCAAATGGGCTGCAAAGATGAAAAAAATTGACCTTCTGGCGCACTGTCGACACACGCAGTGGTCTGGACATTTCTTCTACTGTCTTTGCTTGGGTTTTTGTTACCAGCGTAGGGCTGCCATCCTGAAGCGAGTTGTTCCCTTCCCTTCTGTTTCCTGGAAGAGACTACACAGAGGTGGTTCCTCACGCAAGTTTGGTAGAACTTACCAATGAAACCATGAGGGCTTGGAGATTTCTTTTCTGAAGGT